GAAAGTGTGAATTAAGACTACATTGTTGCGATAAATGCATCTTCATTGTTTACTATGTTTGGAAACCAATAACACCACAGAATCTTTTATAATTAATATATACTTTGAAAATATAGCTTATGAAAAGTTATGGTCCTTCCGTTCTTCTTTTTAATTGCAGAGTATTTCCATGCTTCTAATTAGGTGTTCCAAAATTGGATTGAATGAATTTTGAAAAGAAAAATAATTTTATTCATATATAACATTTATCCTCTTAGTTCAAAATTTAATTAATTTAATTTAAAATGTAGGCTTAATATTTTTACTTTCTCAAATTTAGATGATTTTTCTTTTAATCTTCAAAATTAAAAATGACCTTTTTTTTTACTCTTTCAAATTTATAAAATTAATTTTATTAACTTTTTGTCACAAATGATGTTACTTTCAACGAGGTTAACGATATTTATCTTATTAATGACATGTGTCACTGTATGAAAATTTTCATCTTTAAAATGGTTTGGCAAAAATATGTTTTTTAGTTTCTAAAATATCGAACAATTTTTATTTTAGTTTTCTAGATTTAACAGTGTTTTTTTTCTATCAGATTTAAAAGTAGATTTTTTAAGTCCTCCAAAATTTATAATGAATATATACTAAATTTAAAAGTAACTTTTTAAATTTATAACTTTTATTTTTCCTTAGTTTATTCTTAACTCATATATCATGAAAAATAAAAAAGACTAAGTAATTTTGTCTTTATTTTTTTCTAAATTAAGTTCTCTTCTTATAGGTGTAAAAAAAAAATAAATCAATCAAATTTTAGGAACTATTTTTTAAGAGTTAAATTTTCGTTTATACATATCTCGACAAAAAGTATTTCTTATTTTTAATTGTAAATTCATTTTTGATGTTGAAGGTTGACGTTTTTAAAATTTTGTTGACATAATTAATATATGGTTTAATAGCCAATTTAGTCCTCACTTTGGTTGAAAAATCTCAATTTAGTCCCTCGTTATAAAAGTGTTTTGAATTAGTCATAACTTTTAAAATAGTGGGTCAGATTGGTCCTTTCTGTTAAATATAAGTTAACAAAATTAATGGATGATGATGTGACACAACTTAAAGCTAACGAGGGACCAATCTAACACAGCAGCTTTAAGCTGTGTCACATCATCATCTATTAATTTCGTTAACTTATATTTAACGAAAGGGACCAATCTGACCCACTATTTTAAAAGTTAGGACTAATGTAAAACACTTTTATAACGATGGACTAAATTGAGATTTTTCAACCAAAGTGGGGACTAAATTGGCTATTAAACCTTAATATATTTATTTTGGGAAAGATGATTTTAAGAATATTTGAAATATTTTTTCCTATTTATTGTTTATCCGTCAGGATTTTCCTTGTAATTGATTGAATGTTAATATAACCCTAGTTTCTTCTTTTGTTAATGTAGTTTTTTATTATTTATCACATTAAATGAATGAAGCTATTATTGAAATGTATATGATCAAGTTATATTTGGACTTGGCAAGTTCTCTCTGTCTCTCAGTATATGTTAATTTATGAAATTGATATATCTGTGGTTTTTATTTGTTTAATCAGGATGACCTTATGCTAATTACATTAGTTTCAATTAACTAATTCGATGTTAATGGATAATTGAGTTGCATGGTTTAAATCTATCTAAGTAAAAGCCCTGAACTATAATATAAATAGTGCATTATATTAAGTATATTAATTACATTCAATAATTATTGCATTTAAAAAAACAGGTACTTCAAAGAAAGATAATTATCCTTAAAAGTCAAACTTAAAATGTGTTTAAAGTCTCCACGAGATTGTGAATTTATATTATCTATTTGTTTTATTTAGATTATTTTTTTCACATTAATTTATAACTATCAATGTATTAATAAATTGGAAGATTAAAAATAATGTTTTAATTCAAGGAGAATGAAAAAACTACTTTATTTTTGGATTTTTTTTTTCAACTTGAAGAATTAAGAAATAAATTTTAAATTTGTCGAAGCAATCTTCGTTTTCTTTTTAAAAAAAGATTAAATTATAATTGACTTAAGAGGAAAAAGATATTTTATAAAATAAAATGAAAATTAAATTTACACTATTATTTTAATTTCACTCGTTATTCTTAACATGGATTATTGACGTGAATATTGATAACCGTGTCAACATTGTTTTTAAAAACCATTAGGGACTAAATATTTTATACAGAAGGACAAAAAAAAGTGATCCAAATTTGAAGGATTAAAATCCTATTTAAAGTTTTATTTAAAAAATATATAATAATTGTAACATTCCGTAATATAAAACTTACTAAAATGAAACATTACATGTATAATGATAAAACAAAATTACAAAATTGGTGAATAAAAATTTCACCTGAAGAACAAACATAACTGTCTATAGTATAAGCTTCACTTTCTCTCCTTCAGCTGCTCTAACTGAAAAGACTGTGTCCCTAAACTCAAGCAAGGTGGTTGATGACATATGTATTACAACACTTATTACTTGTGTAAATAGATTTAAATAAATATTAGCATTAAATTACCTTTAACAAGTATTTCAATAGATTGAAACGAACAAAAACCTCATCAATAAATCATATAAACTTAGAATATTAGACAGAAGTTATCGATTGATTTTACCTATAAAAATAACATCAAAAAATATAATAGAATCTATTTTTAAATCTAATTACATAATAATATATAATATATAATATACAATAATATATAATATAATTTATACAATCATATTTTATATTTTATTTTATTTTTATTAATTAGTTTATTAATTAATGTTTGAGATCTTATCGACTAAAAAGATAATACAAATTTACTGTATATAAGTAAGTGTAGATTCACATTAAGCTAATTTAATGAGACTGAGTTAGGTTTAAAATTCATCTTTTATTATGATATTAGAAGTCTATTGATAAGATGAATTTAGAGTATATAAATAAATACAAATTTCATATTACAAATTGATTTTATAAGTTTAAGTTAAATTTAAAGTTTATTTATTAATAATTTATCGGATATTTTTATTCAATCAATTGATTTTCGGTTCAAAATTTATAAATCATAGATTTATCAGTTATCAGCTAATTTATTATCTAAATATTAGTTTATTACCTATAAGTTAATTTATCATTAGCTTTTATGAAAGAAAAAAAAGGGAAAACTCTTTTTTTTTATTAGTATAATATAGCTAGTGGTCGCGACGGAAGGCAAGTTGAACTTGACATGAAATTTTAAAAGATAAAATTTGAATTCAACAATTTTGACTCTTCGTGTTGGTCTCACAGACAGAAACACTCTCCGGGTGCTATTGTTGTCCCTCGAGGGAATCATTCGGTTTATGCTCTTTTTAGTCTTTTCTGTTTTATCTTTTCTTTTTCATTTTTATGTACCAAAGATTAGTATAATTCTGATTATTTGCCTGTAACAGCGCATGTTTTTGAATTCTGACCACATGTTAAATTCTTCCACATTCTCTCTTTGATTTCAAAATAAAACATGTCTTCTAAAATTTATTTCAGCACGTGTAAAATTAATACTCTACGACCAAATACCTGGAATTTTGACGACCAAATTCCAACTTGTCGATCAAGGCAAATATTTCTCCGCAAAGGAATCCTCTTAGACCGCAGCCATGTTGTTAGGAAGTTGCTAAAAGTAAATGTTAATTAATGAATTGATTTGATTAATAATTGTCGTAGTCAAAGTTTTTGAGGTGATTTAAAATAGCTCTAACCAAGACATTCAATATGTGATGTCATTCTCCACCTTTTACTTTTAAATTTATAATTTTTTCGTTATGGATTTAAAGTTACATATTTTTCAAGTTTTACATAAAGATTTTACTAGTTTAATTGTTAATGTGTAATAAATTTATATATTTATGTATTTTAAATAATTATATTGATGTTTTTTTACTATAAAGACCATATGATCTTCGATTAATCGGATCACTATATAGTTCAATAATAATTTAGTTATTAATCGGCTTTCTCAATTGATGATGCGTTTATGATGTCCATTTCTTAGAAACATTTCTTAATTTCCTTTATCGTCTTGATAACTATCTAACTGCGTCTTCCTGCATTATGAAATTACAATAGCGATACTCATTCACCACAACATTGTTAGGACCCATCAAACATCACTTCAAACCTTCAAACAAAAAACCATAGCAGCCAATGGTGGCTATAAAATCGATATATATACTCCAAAACATTAATTGTAGTGACTGTTTCAACAATTCTCTTGTTTTCTTCACCAAATTCCTAAACACTTTCTCCTTTATACTTTTCTTAACTCACCACACCATATCCTTTTTAAGTTCAGAAGGAAACAAAGCTTGAGTACTATAGACTCTTTTTCTTTCATGACACTTAATCATACTGTGTTAGTAGGTGGGTTTAAGCCTAACTCAATCCCACAAAACCGACTTGTAAGATGAGGTTTGCACCTCACTTTTATCACGCACGAGATGTCTATACCTCAACGTGAAGGGGTGTGTTGGAAGTCCCACATCGACTAGAGATAAAACCAAATTATAATATATAAGTGAGGTGTAAACCTCACCTTACAAGCTGGTTTTATGGGGTTGAGTTAGGCTTAAACCCATATTTTAATATGGTATCAGAGCCATAAAGAAAAATGATTTTTAAATTATGTAATGTAAAGTTATAGATGACTTTTAAATTGTAAAAATAAAAAAAATGATTTTTGAATTATACGTTCTAAGAAAACTTTTCAAGTAAAAACTATTTTTTAAATTCTGAAACACAAAAGTTAAAAATAACTTTTAAATTATACAATCTAAAACTTAATTTTAATATTTATAAGGTACGGAAAGAAGATATGGAGGTGTAGGAAAAAATAATCTATTTTGTTGAGAATGATATGGGTTAAGGGAAGCCCATGACCCATGAACGAACTGAGTGAAACCTAACCTCTAACAAAAAAAAAAAAACAAAACGAAAACCCTTAGCGAGCAGTGGTTGTTGGTACGAGAGGCTGTGTTTGGGGTTTCTGAAGTAAAGCACTCGAAGGAGAAGAAGTGAAAGAAAAAAAGGCAGCAGCGGCGGTGTGCGGTGGGAGCCATGGCGGCGCCCGAATCCCCTCTCTGTTACGTCGGTGTCGCCAGGCAATCCGCTGCTTTTCGCCTTATGAAGCAAATGGTGAATCCTCCTTCTCTCCTTCCACCTTTTTCAATTCATTCTTTACTTTACACATATATATTGAATTTTCCAAGTGTATTATGTATAATGTTAGGGTTGGGAAGAAGGAGAAGGTCTCGGAAAAGAGAAGCAGGGGATCAAAGGACACGTTCGAGTCCAAAATAAACAAGACACTACTGGTTTCTTCTTCCTCTTTTTTCTTCAATCTTACTTTTTCTTTTTATCTCTCTTGCAATCGCTATGCTTATTCGCTTCTAAATTCAATTACAGGTATTGGCCTTGAGAAGCCAAATCATTGGGCCTTCGACACCACTCAATTTGATAATATACTCAAGAGATTGAAAGTTGTATGTTTCTTCCTCACTTCTTTTTTCGTGTTCGTTCATTTCCTTTGGCTCTTCGTTGAGATTTTTTTTCCTTTCTGTGTGATTTGTATAGCAAGCGCCGCAATCACATGACACAGGTATAATCATATCATATTCGTGGCCCCGTCTATTATTCTCCCACTTGATTGTGTTTGAGGATTGTTTTGCGAACTTTGTTAGACACTGAGGAAAACGCACCTGAGGTGGAAACCAAGGCTAATGTTCCTGTTGATAATAATGATTCTGTGTCCAAAACTACAAGGCCTCAGGGAAGGTCTGTTTCTGTTTTTTTTTTTACGTTTTGTGATTTATGTTGTTGTGTAGTATTGATTTAGTTGTGCACGATATTAACTTTACTTTCTTTCAGATACAAGAGAAGAGAGAGGGGAAAGCTTGTCTCGCAATATTCCTTGAAGGATCTCGAAGGAATTCTTGTAAGTTCCAATTCTCGATGCTGGATACACCTCCATTTACTCACATTTTTACAACCTGAGTGGTGATGCTAACATGCTGTTTTACTGCTATGTGGTGTTGTAGTGTTTTGTGTTTTTCTTTTATGTAGTGGCTGATATAGTTGAATAAATGAAATGCGTATTATTTACATTTGAAATCAGGTGCATGACACAACTCCAATAGCTGAATTGAACGAATCACTATCACTTGAATTGTGGGAATGGGATTGGGTCTGGTATTGCTAGTGTATTTACTAATCAGTGTTCATGTTTGCATTGCTTCTTTTGTTATTTTAATTTTTTTATTCTTTCAATAAATTTGTTTTTATGTTTATTCGATGAACCTGGAACACCTATCTACTATTATATATATTTTTTTGAATTGAACTCTGGTAGTCAAGAAAGTTCAATTTTTGTTCCAGTATGCTTAGTTTAGACAGAGACTTACCGTATATTGCAATATTCTCAAATTTCGTTGCATGAATGGATGCTTGAGTATTAGATGCCCCTCGCGCTTCTTTTTTCTTTTTGAAAAGTCTTGATACTTTAAATCTTTAAAATTAAAATATTAAGCTAATGGTGGTAGCATTTTCTATATTCTAGCTTCTTAAATGTGTTTTGCAGTTTTATTGCATACAAGCTTGTCATTGTTTGTTTACTTCTATGATGTTGGTGATAGGTTAAAAAGGGTGACATATCTGGGGTTACTGATAATTCTGATGGTGAGCTGGACATGTTGAAGTCATCTGAAATTCACAATTTTCAAGTTGAAGGTATACACCTCAACCGAAATTTAGTTTGTGCTATTCATGTTGATTGGCTTCACATATGATATTTGGATACTGCATTGATACAGAAAGCAAATATCCTGCTATACCTCCAGAGTGGTGGGGCTATAAGTATGGTTTTGTCTCTGGTGGATTTCTAGGAGCTGAATTGAAAAAGAAAAGGTCTATGACATCTGAAACTGTAAAAAATAGGGCAGAGAGAACTGCTTTTCATGAAGAGGATCAAGAGAACCTTTATAATCTAGTCCAGGTGTGTGACCTCTTTGTTATTTTAACTTGTTACATGTAGTGGTAATATAGTCACTTCTGTTAATTTCATTTATGTTAAATGGTAACAGTAATAAATTAGAATTAAGAATGTTATATAATGATGGGTGGAGTTGGGTTGGGTTCATGAGTTTCAGCACCAAAACAATACCCTACGCAATGAACAATGAGTTTGATTGTGTTGGGTTTGAGTTAATGGGTGTCCAATACACGGGTATATTCCTAATTGATATCTTAAAACCCTAGGGCTATATTGTTGTAATAATTTTGTATCCGAACCTGTAGGGTGTGATAATGAATTATATAGCAATATAGTTAATTATACAGTAATTGTTTTACCAGGAGAAATCCACAACGGGGAAGCAAGGACTAGGGATCAAGGACAGACCCAAGAAAGTAGCTGGTTGCTATTATCAGGGGAAAAAGACATCCTTTGATGATAGTGATGAAGATTCTGCTGACACGGATTCCCTTGAAAAACAAGCCCATAATGACTTGGTTAAATTAGAAAAGATCGTTGAATGCAAAGTGAAGCTGAAAAAGTTGTGCAAAAAGATTTTACTGCAGGTGTGTTCTATTTTTTGTGTTGCAAATATTTTTTCCCTTAATAAATTCGTGACCATTCACTTCCTGATTAACTTCAGGTGCCTGGAGAATCGTTGAAACTGAAACAGCTCAAAGTTATTATTGATGAACATTCATCTTCGGTTTTGTCGGGCTTTTCTTCAAAAAGAGAGGCTATTGCTTACTTACGGCAAAAGGTAGTGCTTCTGTCAACCTTTTCTTGAAAGAAGAATAAAATGTGCTAATGGCAACCTTTTATTGACAGAAGAAATATATGATGCTTGTTGCAGTCATCTAATATTGGTATATTTGGGATTTGGAATCATTAGATATTATACTTGGCATTCCTTGATTTGGTAATATCTGTGTTATTAGTTGCATAGTCCTCCGCGTTTTGACATGATTTGTTCCTTGATTGCAGCTGACAGGTAGCAGGAAGTTCTGTATCGAAGGCAAAAGAGTGCGATTGTCATCAAAGAAAAGCTGATTTTTGATACGTCTTTTTCTTGTCCTTTCTAATTCATTATATTTATTGGGAGAGAAAGGGTTTAGGTAGCTTTTCATTGGTTAGTTTTATCAACGTATGTTGTATTAATTAAATAGCATTTTATGAAATTTAATTTACATTGTGTTGCGAGTTTAAAAATGTGTAAGCGAGAGCGTGTGTAACCGGATTCCATAGTAAAATAATGTAATGCACTCATCATAGCGATGGATGAACATGGAAATGTCAACCGGGGTTCCTTTTGGTTCATACTTAATTTTTATTTGTGTAGAAGCTTGATACATATTCCTTTTGAATGAATATCAGGGAAAATGCATCGAAGGTTTTTTCTTTGGTATCTATACTCTTCTCTTCCAATAATTAGACTTACCATGGAATGCACTAGAAAACCTGTGCATGATTAGTTTTCTTTTTCTAAGTATCATTTTGGTCATTTAGTTTAGTAATTTCCATTCTAGTCTTTAAAATAGTATATTTCAATATGGTTTCTGTTAAACATAATCTTGTTAAAACATTTCAATTAATTTGAATACAATGACCACTTCCAATTGATAAAATATCTGTTTACACAAATACCATAGTCTTCCTTTTCAATTTTTAATATTGGTGAAATGATGATAAATGAATTGGGTTTAGGGACGATTATGCAACTATGTCTTAATCCGCAAGAAAAAGTGTTGAAGAAGTTGAGTTTTCGATCTACCGACCTATTTTGTATAACCTGGAGTTCCTGTAGGTCAATAATAGGATGGACAGACTGGTTTATATAATCCGTAAAATTTTTTTATCAAGTATTGCTAAATTATTATAATTTTTTAATTTAGATAATAATTTATTTTTATATTTTGATAAAAGATTTAATTTTCACATATTTATTTGATGAAAATATTGAGTGCAAATATATCAAACATTAAAACAAGATAATTGTTATAATATTTATATAATTTCGCTTTAAGATTTTGTTTGAGTCACTATACAGATTCATGAAACAATTGTTATGTCGTTATAACTTTTTTAATCTAATGACATAATTTTTTTTTTACGTGTTACGTGATATTTTAAATATTTTAGATTGAGACTTAAATTGTTTATATCAATGTTTCTGTTCAAATGTTATTTTAAAACATTGTTTAACATATAAAAATAAAATTATCATAAAAATAAAATTATCGTTATTGAATTAAAATAATTATATTCATTATTTTTTAAATTTAAGAATTAAAATATATTAAAGTTAAAAAAAATGATGAATTCTACTTTTGTGTTTAAGTCTAGAAATTATAGACGTATTTTACACTTTAATTGTTTGGATAATTTATATACGGATTGTATAAACTTTTCTTTGGTCATGTACATATTTAATTGGTTTTTACACTTTTTTTGGTAATTATTTAACTTTTATTTAATTTTATATAATTATAATTTATTTGAATATTTAATGTTGAAAAATAAATAAATGTGTCTTATACTGTATGATCGTATGGTCGTGGAGAAGGTCTAGGTAAGATCACTCAAAGGACTGATGGACCGAATGATCAAGTATCGTCCAATCAAAATTATCAATAAATGTTATTTATTAGTTAATGGACTATGATTAGAAGTATGTTGATCATAAATTCATATTGAAAATAATGATGAAAAGTAAAAAGGTAAGTGATTGTATTTATTATGAATTCAAGATTTTACTGTGATTAAGAATATTCAAGACAACCTAAGTTAACTCGAAAAAGAATAAAAAGAATGTTATGTGGAGATTGTGCTGCCGTCGAAACTTATATTGTTTTTAACATGAATACTATAAATATTATGATTTTTTCTTTCATTTTTATTTTATAAAAAGTATTTTATTAATATTTAAAATAATAGAGAAATTAAAATAAGTACGGTATGTTTCCATTTTCTAACAGAGATATAATAAAAAATTTATATCTATTAAATATTAAAATAAAGATAATTTCTGCTTTAAAAGTCATCTTGAAATAGTCAATCTCATGTCGTGAACTAATAACACTAGAAATAAAAACGGAGACGACGTCATTGCCAAAGTGAAGGATTTGGAATATGATATTTTAAACCTTACAATGTTTATTCACTGAGAATTGAGAACAAATAATGCCAAAACCTGAGTGGCACGAGATCGATAGAGTAGTCGGCGGTAGACTGTCAACTTGGACAAATAAAATGGTTTTTATTGAAAATAATAGAAAAAAATAAAATTATTAAAAATTTATAAATTTATTATCTTAAGATTTTAAAATAAAAATAATATTATATATATATATATATATGAATTTAAGTCACACGTATAAGAAATTTAAATATATATATATATATATATATTATATTACAAAATTTAAATATAATATATTAAGAATTCTTAAACCAACATAGCACAATAACCACAAATTAGTAAAATTATTTGGTAGGGATGAGTGTAAGACACGTTACAATAAATTTATCTTTATTCTTATTGACCTAAAATTGTTCATATGAGCCTTCATATAATTAAGTATAATTAAGAAGTGAGTAAAATTTATGAAAACCAACAAAATTAAGATTAAGATTCATCTTTTCTTGTTCTTTTCCTTAAATTACAATTAATGATAAAGAGCATGTTCAATCTTTATTTGAGATTTGATTGAACCAACCTGGTAACTAGTTTCTAAATGTACGAAAAACTATTATTTAAATTATAATATCTGATCGTGCTGGTGAGATGAATGCAAAATTGTATGGGGGAAGATATTATGCATTTAAAAATAACTCAAATAAGATAATAAATTAATTAAACAAAAATCAAACTTTTAAATTTTATGAAAACTAATATCAAATTTTTGAATTTTATCGAAGTAAAATCAAGCTTAATCTTTATAAAACCAAATTTTAAGGCTTTGTTCACTTGAATGGATTTGGAGAGAGTGATTGAATGGATTTGAGAGGATTTGAAAATNACACATATATATTGAATTTTCCAAGTGTATTATGTATAATGTTAGGGTTGGGAAGAAGGAGAAGGTCTCGGAAAAGAGAAGCAGGGGATCAAAGGACACGTTCGAGTCCAAAATAAACAAGACACTACTGGTTTCTTCTTCCTCTTTTTTCTTCAATCTTACTTTTTCTTTTTATCTCTCTTGCAATCGCTATGCTTATTCGCTTCTAAATTCAATTACAGGTATTGGCCTTGAGAAGCCAAATCATTGGGCCTTCGACACCACTCAATTTGATAATATACTCAAGAGATTGAAAGTTGTATGTTTCTTCCTCACTTCTTTTTTCGTGTTCGTTCATTTCCTTTAGCTCTTCGTTGAGATTTTTTTTCCTTTCTGTGTGATTTGTATAGCAAGCGCCGCAATCACATGACACAGGTATAATCATATCATATTCGTGGCACCGTCTATTATTCTCCCACTTGATTGTGTTTGAGGATTGTTTTGCGAACTTTGTTAGACACTGAGGAAAACGCACCTGAGGTGGAAACCAAGGCTAATGTTCCTGTTGATAATAATGATTCTGTGTCCAAAACTACAAGGCCTCAGGGAAGGTCTGTTTCTGTTTTTTTTTTTACGTTTTGTGATTTATGTTGTTGTGTAGTATTGATTTAGTTGTGCACGATATTAACTTTACTTTCTTTCAGATACAAGAGAAGAGAGAGGGGAAAGCTTGTCTCGCAATATTCCTTGAAGGATCTCGAAGGAATTCTTGTAAGTTCCAATTCTCGATGCTGGATACACCTCCATTTACTCACATTTTTACAACCTGAGTGGTGATGCTAACATGCTGTTTTACTGCTATGTGGTGTTGTAGTGTTTTGTGTTTTTCTTTTATGTAGTGGCTGATATAGTTGAATAAATGAAATGCGTATTATTTACATTTGAAATCAGGTGCATGACACAACTCCAATAGCTGAATTGAACGAATCACTATCACTTGAATTGTGGGAATGGGATTGGGTCTGGTATTGCTAGTGTATTTACTAATCAGTGTTCATGTTTGCATTGCTTCTTTTGTTATTTTAATTTTTTTATTCTTTCAATAAATTTGTTTTTATGTTTATTCGATGAACCTGGAACACCTATCTACTATTATATATATTTTTTTGAATTGAACTCTGGTAGTCAAGAAAGTTCAATTTTTGTTCCAGTATGCTTAGTTTAGACAGAGACTTACCGTATATTGCAATATTCTCAAATTTCGTTGCATGAATGGATGCTTGAGTATTAGATGCCCCTCGCGCTTCTTTTTTCTTTTTGAAAAGTCTTGATACTTTAAATCTTTAAAATTAAAATATTAAGCTAATGGTGGTAGCATTTTCTATATTCTAGCTTCTTAAATGTGTTTTGCAGTTTTATTGCATACAAGCTTGTCATTGTTTGTTTACTTCTATGATGTTGGTGATAGGTTAAAAAGGGTGACATATCTGGGGTTACTGATAATTCTGATGGTGAGCTGGACATGTTGAAGTCATCTGAAATTCACAATTTTCAAGTTGAAGGTATACACCTCAACCGAAATTTAGTTTGTGCTATTCATGTTGATTGGCTTCACATATGATATTTGGATACTGCATTGATACAGAAAGCAAATATCCTGCTATACCTCCAGAGTGGTGGGGCTATAAGTATGGTTTTGTCTCTGGTGGATTTCTAGGAGCTGAATTGAAAAAGAAAAGGTCTATGACATCTGAAACTGTAAAAAATAGGGCAGAGAGAACTGCTTTTCATGAAGAGGATCAAGAGAACCTTTATAATCTAGTCCAGGTGTGTGACCTCTTTGTTATTTTAACTTGTTACATGTAGTGGTAATATAGTCACTTCTGTTAATTTCATTTATGTTAAATGGTAACAGTAATAAATTAGAATTAAGAATGTTATATAATGATGGGTGGAGTTGGGTTGGGTTCATGAGTTTCAGCACCAAAACAATACCCTACGCAATGAACAATGAGTTTGATTGTGTTGGGTTTGAGTTAATGGGTGTCCAATACACGGGTATATTCCTAATTGATATCTTAAAACCCTAGGGCTATATTGTTGTAATAATTTTGTATCCGAACCTGTAGGGTGTGATAATGAATTATATAGCAATATAGTTAATTATACAGTAATTGTTTTACCAGGAGAAATCCACAACGGGGAAGCAAGGACTAGGGATCAAGGACAGACCCAAGAAAGTAGCTGGTTGCTATTATCAGGGGAAAAAGACATCCTTTGATGATAGTGATGAAGATTCTGCTGACACGGATTCCCTTGAA